CTGCGGAATCGACGGAAATGAAATGGCGGACGAGTTGGCGAAAACCGCTCATAATTCTACGCAAACGTGCCTCATTCCAGTATCTCAGTATGATGTAAATAGAATTTTAAGAACAATAAAATGTGAATTATGCCTGTCTACCTGGTTCACAGACAAAACAAAGGAATCGATCCTATATTCTGTTGATCCTAATCTTGAATACCAATTAGACCGTGACCTCCCAAGACGTATCGACACACTCATTCATCGCCTACGACTCTGAACTGCTTACACAAAGCACTTCCTACTTCGTATTCATCGTGCGACATCGTCAGCATGTGCATGCGGCCACAATGACGAGGATATCTGTCACCTCTTGCTCGACTGTCTGAAACACGACACACCAAAGGCAACTAGAACAAGAACTGCATAGGTTAGATCCTGAGCGACCAATCCGGTTGAATAAAATACTAGGTCCATGGCCATCCAAAACAAACAGCAAAGCAGTGAAGGTGCTGCAACAGTTCTTCGAAGAAACGAAGATTTGTGACGAATACTGAGCGGACAAAACTTAAAAGTGAGCATGTCGTCCATGTGTTTGTTCTGCCCATATAGGAGAACTTTTGCTCTCACCCATGTAGGACTGTATATATGTATACATGCTATTGTTTGTTTGTTTTTTCATATTTTTATTTGTACCAATTAAGTGGAAAGGGATAGCCGCCGCCAAGTAACGGTGACAAAAACTCCTTCGTTTATTTTCTATTTCAATAAAAAGAAACAAGTTGAGCTAAGGGGGTTACCTTCACGTTGAAATAATAATGTGAGAATATAGGTACGTGAAATGCAGTCACACACTCAGAAAAATATGCTGCTCTTTGATTAAATACATGTTTAGTAGCGTAACTTATTGCTCCTGCATTGAGTTCGAAAATGGCAGGCACCATATAGTTCTCGATAAGAAGAAAGCTTTTCAGGGGGTGTGGATCATAAGTGCCATTTGCCAGCCCTTGAAGTCTACTTCCAAGAAATATCACACAAATACTTACTATGGCATTTGACAGATGCAACCACACTGTACCACAATTAAATGCTTAATAGAAATTTCGTATAGGTTTGTATGCCTTGAGCAAATGCTCTAACTGGAGTAACTGCTGGAGATCACCTTCAAAAGTACTACAGGTACCAAGCATGCCCCACTTATATTCTTCGTGCATACAAACCCCCCCAGCAAATGTAACACCCTCAGCACAACAAGCTACAGTTAAAGGGGCCCTGCAATAATTTCCTATGTGACCTTCGCATGGCTTCATAAATAAGTTCATCGGCTCATAAATCGAGTGTGCCGAAAAATTTCAGAATTTGTCAAGTGCAAGTAGAGGTACAGAGATTTCGTCACTTGCCTCCTCTCATCTCTCGTCTCAACAAGTGTGCTGGACGTTAAGCAGGAAGGGATGGCATGGGAAAAAAGTTGCACATCATGTGCTTGTCATGACCTCGGCCACTTTTTTTTCTCTCTGAACAGTGCCTTACTTTCTGTGCATCGTGAGTTCTTGCACGGTCATGCTGAGGTTTCTTATGGCGGACTCCATAACGAAGCAGTGCACGATGCTCAAATAAGCCAATGGCTGTGACTTTGGGTGTATGGCATGGTCATTTTAGTACATAGCACTATTTGCAGAAAGAAATAAGAGGGAACGATTTCTCACTGACTTTGAAAATTAATAGTGAATTCTAAGCTACATGCTGTGCCAAAACATTTGGCTTGCTTGTTCTCGGGAGCCTTACCTACCACTCAGCATCATCTTTCTGACTATGTTCAAGAAGTGTTGCATGGCCCCTTTAAAACTCTATCTGATGAGATCCGATTTTATGAACTTCCAAATTTAACAAGATCTTTATTCCTTGGCGGGTACCCATAGGGTTTACAGTTGTGATCAACTCGAGTAAACAAAGCTATCATGACACTAAACCCAATTTAAAATTTTTCCAGAAATAAATTAGTTGAATATTGCCACGTGCGTGCTGCAAGAAAGACTAAGGCGACAGTGCATATGCGCATCGGAAGAAAGCAATAACGAGAAAGACGAGGAACGATTTGGCGCGTGGAAAATAAAAAGACCGACCAGCTACTGCTTTCTCGGCCTCTTTAATACGACCTCTGTCTTCACGTCGCGACACTCGTGGAGGTGCTGGAGCCTGCAACCTGATACAGGAAAGAGTTGTTTGGGACCGTACACCCAATCTGGAGTCTCAACATCTCGTTATGACTCCAGTACACTGATTCAGCCAGTGCCTACTAGGTCTAAGTCCGAAACTCTTGACTGCGTTTTGTCTTACCAACATGACGTCCCCTACAACCCTACAACATCTGCGAATCTTCCTCCTGCCCAGACGACTTTTCTTTTCCAGGTGACTTTCGAGTTTCCTCGTGTTCCAAAAGTCTTCCGTGGAGAAGCGTTTGAGGATGTCGAGGTCTGGAACCAGTTCGAACGAACCGCTGTGGTAAATTGCTGGAGCGCATAAGAGAAACCTGGCCGTGCCTACTTCGCGATAAAAGATAGCGCTCGCACATGATACAAGAAGAGCGAGGCTACTTTCCGAACCTGGGACAATTTCCGCCAAAAGCTTCTCGAGATGTTCCTGAGCACAAAGAGGCGGGATCTCGCGCAACAGCTTATTGAAGCCCGCGTGCAAAAACCAAAGGCAAGTGTCGCCAGGTTTGCTGAGGATATGGCCCGTCTATTTCGCTGCGCTGACCCCGACATGCCGGAGGCAAGAAAAGTTCGTCACCTAATGCGGGGAGTCAAGGAACCACTTTTCGCCGGCCTTGTACGAAATCCGCCAACAACAGTGGATGAATTAATCAAAGAAGCGTCTGTCATTGAGCGGGCGCTATGGCAACGATGCCGCCACTCTGACCACCTGCCTGACCAAACTCCTGTAGGTACCGCCGCTCAGAACGCCGCCGTTTCCGAAAGCTCTCTACGGCAAATGATTAGGCCGATTCCGCGGGAAGAGCTGCAGGCTTTTGCATTCTGTCTATCAAGCCTCAAGTCGCTTCTGTTGCGGACATCGTGCTCACCGAGCTGGGGCAAGCCTTTCCATCACAGGCGCCACCACCTGAGCCATGTCCTTTGACCTATGCAGATGACGAATTTCCTGGGCCCATTCCAAACTTCTACCACAGGGAACAGATGGATCATTGTCGCCACCGATTACTTGTCTCACTACGCAGAGACAAAAGCCATGCTGAGGAGCACAGCAGCAGAAGCGGCTCATTTCTTCATTGACAGTGTCGTCCTTCAGCACGGTGCTCCAACAGTTCTCATCATGGATAGAGTAACTGCGTTCACGGCAGAACTTTTGGAGTCGCTTCTCAGGTTGAGCGGTACAGTATGCTCACCAAAGAACAACGCGTACCATCCCCAAACAAACGGATTAACTGAGTGCTTTAGTAAGACCTCACAGACATGCTCTACATTTATGTCGATACAGAACATAAAAACTGGGATGAAATCTTGGCTTATGTGAACTTCGTCTATAATACTGCCCGGCAGAAAACTACCGGAATGACGCCGTTCAGCTTAATTCATGGTCGTGAAGTCACTACAACGTTGGACGCTACGCTGCCGCACGAGTATGAGGACACTCATGCCGACACTGAAGAATTTGGTCAGCACGCCAACGAAGCGCGACAGCTAGCCCGCATGCACATTTGTCACCATTAATGCAAAGATACGAAACGATACGACCTACGACACAAATTAGTAACCTACATACGAGGCGACAAGGTATGCGTCTGGATCTCAATACATCGACGCGGACTTTCAGAGAAGCTATTACGATGATACTTCGGCCTATATCGAGTCACCCTACGCTTGAAAGACGTCAACTATGAAGTTATTCCCGACGGCGATTGCAGTTCCAGTCGCCGAAAGCGTTCACTAGAGATTGAGCATGTCGTCCCGATGAAACCCAACTTGTCCAGCTACTTCTTGCTTGTGTTGTAGGCGCCAGCGTGTATATGTGCATTTTTATAAGTAGAGCGCCTTGGCTGCGCATTGGGCTGATGCCATTTTCGGAGGAAGGCAAATGCAACGTGCATGCTGAGAGAAAGACGAAGGCGACAGTGCATACATGCATATGCAGAAAGCAATAACGAGAAAGACGAGAAACGCTCTGGCGCGCGGTAAATAAAAAGACCGACCCGCTGCTGCTTTCTCGGCCTCTTCAATGCGGCCTCTGTCTTCACATCGCGACAATATGCAGTGGTTTGTTTCTGATTCTTACACAGATGCGTTCTTCTAGTGCACCCTGTAAAAACTCGCTTTAACGGATCTCGCTGCCTTAGTCAACACTCTAGTTTTATTTAGACGAGCACACAAGCCATGCCCGTGCACGGACTTGCTTGGCAGCGCTTTTGCGAGCCAAATAGTATGAGAGGCGGTGATGGTTTGTTGTCTATGTACATGTTTCCACAAAAACGCAGAATTGCTCTCGTTACTCAATCACTTGTAACACGACACTTTTCATCTCCTTGCAACTACCTTGCTCTGCCTGACTACTCAAACCATTGCATTATACCTTCGCGTCTTTGCATATCAGCAAAGCCTGGACATGGGAGGTTCCATGTCCGGGCTGCCCTAGTGGACTTTTCATACTTGGAGATACGTGCTAGTGGTAAATAAAATGTGGCAGCAGTCTTCCAGTGTCTATACCCAGCAATTTTTTATTCCAGAAGATCGAAATATCCCCTTCTTGATTTTACATATTTCCTAATTTAATGAAATATTTTGAGCATAGTAATCACTTCGTTAAATTGAGTTTTAAATGTACAATGCTTGATGATATCTAACACTGCTAAACCGCAGGGATGTCAAAGCTATACGGCACTTTTTACAAACACCTTAATGAGAATATGTTATAATTAGCAAATTTTGCGCCTTTCTGCAAATACGCTGTGATGTTCAATATGCAAACTCAAATATCAGCATGACTACCAAGTCATGGCAACCAACCAGGATAAAGGAGATCATTGCGTCGTTTGCCGGCTTCCAGCATTTCTCTGTTGATGTCTACAACAAAAGCATGCGCACGCTGACTAGATGAGCCGTCTCGGAAATCCATATCCAAGTTTTCATCGGCTTGGAGCTCCTGATACCTCACAGCTTGGATGAATCTTGTTGAAATGTCTCCTGCAAAACAAACAGCGATGTTTTGCATTACAAGAGCTTGACAAGTGCAATGATTCATGAACAGAAGCATGAAAACGTAATGGGCACAGCCCAGATATCACTTTCCGGCACTGCATGAATAAATTTGCAAACACCAACATGATGCCTAAATATCAAAAGCACAGATGAAGATAACTCCATCCAAACAACGTACATATTTAAAAGGCCCTTCAAGATGACCTGTGCTGCATGAGTTATTTGCATCCAGAAAGTTCGTAGGAAAAAAAGAATTTGAAGACATGTACATGTTTGCATATTTTATACAGACAAATCAGTGTAAAATATGTGGTGCTAATATCTGCTCAGTATCCTCAATTAAATACTTCAGTGGTCTTTTTACACTGCAGTTAAGCTGAATGCTTACATTGAACACACCACTCTCAAAGCATGCAAGAAATTAGGCTACCTTGAAAGACACATCCTGCAAGTGCTGATACCAGAGTTTTTCCTTAAACAAGAAGTATTCCGAAATGATGTGGCATAAAGGGAGCTAAGAAGAAAAGCTGAAGCACTTTTTAAGGGCCTCCAATAGATGCCAAGAACAAGAAAACACTGCCGTCAGCCTAGAATGACGCACCTTTTGCCTCAAAGCACCACTTTGCTTTACAAGTCTAGTCATTGCAATTACACCGATGCAACACTGCATGGCACCGAAAGAGGCACGAGGAGAGTGTCAATTTTGTCGAGAAATATTCCTATATTGTTCATTTAATTCATTTTAGACTAGTTTTACAAACTAATTTAAGCCTAAATGAAGTGTTGCAATCAATGAGAGCCAAATCCAACATTTAGTCCTGCATATCAACGACAGCGGGTTATATATATTTTAACTGCATTATAGATTTGAGATATTTTGAAGACATAAGCACAATGAAAAAATTGGCCCCGAATCTGCATGTTACACTGCAAATCTCGTCGAAAGACGATTGTCTTGCATCTGGAGAAAATGAACAAAACGTTTATTTGATGTTCTGCGGAAGAAAATTGGTGAATGGTATTCTGGGGGCGCTGCGTTAGTCCCTCGAGCGTGTAGCGGAGCCGAACGAGCGCATCGAGGCACGTTAGACACGAACACCATCTGGCAGTTCGAAAACGAAGGAAGGCGTGCGTGCCCGCGGAGAAAGATGCACGCCTGTCTCGGAGGTAATAAGGTTTAGAACGCAAAGCGACGGGCAGATGCCACTATTGTGTCGTCTTAGCAAAGCGTTGGAAGCACTAACCTTTTTGAGCATCGTGTTGCACTGTCAGTGCAGCGTGATTAACGCTATGGTCCTTATAATTACTTGTGTTTGCCTTCTCTAGTATAAAGGCACACATACAAAACATCGACGTGTTGTTATGGTGCCTCAGATATGCGCAATCATTGCTTTTTGATTGACAATCGCACAAGTATGAGCGCTGAATTTTGAGAATATTGGTGGGCCCGCAGCTGGGGTGGGCCGTTTGAGGTATCGGTAAGGGCGGTCAGACAAATGTAGACAGACAGACAGACAAAAATTTTCTGTCGAAGGTACCCAAGAAAGAATCTCATCTTAAAAAAATATATATTGTTGGGCCAGGCTCAACCATCTTATCAGTGGCAAAACAATTAAAAAAACTATTTTTCTAAGCTTCAGTTAAAGTGTACTTGGCCCTTTTAGACAAAAAAAAATAAGTAAAATAAGGTCAGGTCTGTTCACGCCCTTTACGTACTCACACTTGTGTCCTTCCCTATGTACTGCCCTGTCAGCTGGGCCATTAGGATACTCGAATAAATAAATAAATTATAAATAAATAAATGTCACGATTTACCACTTTGTTACCACGCAACGGGTTATTTTTCACACTAAAAAGGAAAGCTTCGCAGCAGCAATTTTCGCTTGGCACACTTGCCCTTTTTGCTTTTTGATTAGTGGGCGGAAATGGCGATGATGTAAATACGTTTCAGACTGAAATTTCAGTAGCTATCTGTCATGACAATATTTACAGGGTTTAGATGAGGGAGCAGAGCAGGGAAAGCTTAGAATAAACCTCATAGAACAATGTTGGTCAGCGTTTACAGGCTTGCATTCGCTCTTGATCGCTAACAGATCGGTTACGCCAGGCAAGTCAAATGGCATTAGAGACACAAATAAACTCTTCGTCTCACGCTGAAAATCTAGTAAAATGCACGTCCACATATCTAGAAACTCCCCCGAGCACATTAGAGTATATTAATGCTTCTAAGGCATATTATATATAGCAAAATTGGGCCACGCGACAAAAAAAGCGACCTACCAGTTCCCCCGGCAACATCGACGAGTTGCATCCCGGGCAGCGGACCCAGGACCGAGATCAACCTGTCCTTCCAAAGGCGATGAATTCCCGCACTCATGGCATCGTTCATCAAGTCGTACTTTTCCGCCACACGGCTGAAAACTTGACGAACTGCACACCAAACACGAAGTTTACCCTTTCAGACGAGAACGGTCGCTCGTCGACGAAGCTCACCTTTCTCGGCCTTCTCGTACTCGGAGACCTTTTCATAGCCGAAGTTCGTGTTGTGATCTTTCAAGGCCTCTTCAGTTTGAGAGGAACTCTGCGGCCCGCCGCTCAGAGATCTCAAAGACGATACCAAACAACTTTTGTGCCCCACGAACCTGCTGGCTACAAACCGCAACCGACTGGAGGACGCCATCTTCTTGAGTTGAGCCCAACGTTGACCGACGCCGCACGTTAACGCCGCCGCGCACAGTGACATCAGTGGTGACATATGCAGCAGGTACAAATTGCTCTGCCCTCAGGCTTTGCTGACGAATCCACTACAGGCAAGAGACGTACGCGGATCGCTTCGGACACCGGGCAAGAACCACCGCACGCGTTAATGTCAGTTAATCGAATACTGAAAAAAAACCCAAAGGTCTAGGCCACAGAATTGATAACTGATGGACCCTTCGCCTATGTAACCCTGTAATGCCTAGGAACAGTGACGCCTTCAGAAATATTGCGAGAAAACTCCGCTTGTTTGCACTCCTCTTGTACAGTTGATCTTTTAAAAATATGAAATTTTTGTTTGAGGCATAACTTAAGTACTAAGTGGAAATAATTACTATCGTATCAAATGTAAGTCACTGTACCTTCTGCATTAGGTGCTAAATCTGCAATAGCTACTAATCGTGACACCTGTAGTAGCTTTTAGTAGCATTATTGGGGCATCATATTCACTGCATCAAATGTGATACGGTGGGCATTACAGTGTTAATGTGTCATTGTTGGCCACCGATTTTACAATGACAGATAAAGTGCTGGAAAAACTCTTCAATCCATCCCTGTTTTGAACACATTCTGAAGAAAAACTATAAATCCAGGTTTTTAGAACAAGAACTCTGGAAGTAAAATTTATTATGCCATTTACACACACATACACACACACACAGTTGACTTGTGTAAGCTGCTGTACAAGATAGGAAAACTAAGTGATGGAACACTGAACAAAAAAAAATTGTGTGAACAACCATAGCATTTTTAACAGCTAACAAAATGAAGTGATGAAGTTTATCAGTGTGTAGTAAATGCCAAAAAAAAGGGGGGGGGGGGGGGGGGGGACTCCTAGTCTTAGCAGCAACAAGTTTTGAACTTTCAAAAAAAAAAGGAGGGGGGGGGGAGGAGGAGGTCAGGGAATGAACCTGAAAGGGGGGCTGCCTACGATGAGCAGCATTATATCATGACAGCAGAGTAGTACATTTTGTGCGAGAGAAAAGACAGCAGCAGAAGCAGATTTACAGCAGCCCTCAAGGCAGGGTTTCTGGGACAGGACAATTTCATTTCTCTTGTGCAGCAAACAATTGTAAAAGCCGTGTTACAAGATGAGAAGAGAGAACTTGACGGGGGTGCAGCACGCACACTTTTGCCGCAGGAAGCGGAAACAGGTCAACATCTCTTGCCCCTATTTGCGAAAAGCACCAGCTTTCATCATCTGCGATTGCATTTTTTGAAAATGTTCAGTCGAGTCACAATTTTTTTTGCAGAGTGTTCGATGCATCCAGTCCTTTGTCCCCCTTGAGCTAATCCATTCCCTGCCGACCGTACCGTCCTTTCCGCTGGCTCAGCCAGACTTGAAGAGCAGGATGGCCACCTGGCCGAGGTAGAAGTAGATGAAGTGCTTTGTCTCGTGGGTGACGTAGGATCCAAAGTTGCGCCCCACGATGCAGTGCCAGGTGGGGTTGTACTTCTTGTCAAACTCCTTCTTGATGTAGGCCGCTATGTCCTTCTCGATGTTGTACTTCTCCAGGGCCTGGGTGGCGACGTCCACCGCATCCTGCTGCATCTCCTCGGACATGTCCGCATTCTTGATGACTGCCTTCCTGTCGCTCATCCTGCGAAGACCGAAAGAGGGTGCCCCAATCAGGAAACTGACCATTAAAACTGCATTCTCCAAGCAACAAAGTCCGATTGGACAATGGGGCATGCACCTGCTACTACAGCTTGTAGGGATATATCTGGCCCAGTGACCTTTTAGTCCATTGTTAGCATTAGTTTATGTCAAACTGCAACATAGATTCCTTGCACTCTGATCACTCAGCCACAATGGAGCTCCAAGATGGCACCAATACGATAACCCTCGTTACATTTGCCAAGAATTTATAACACTAATCAAATTAGCCCGACGTTCACCGTTTTGTTTTATAATGATGAACACAAAAAGTATGAAGAGAGGTATATAACGATCAGAATTACCCCATGAGGAAACTATGGCTGGAAAACAGGCTAATGAACAGGAAACGGCCAACTGCTGCCTAGTGCATTACAGAAAAAAAAACATTTAACTACCAAATTTACGATACGGATACCCACAAACGTACTAAGCACAAATTTCAAAGTAAAATCCGTGACATCGGAGAACGAAAAGAACATGCGACTTATCACAGCAGTCTGTAAATGCGAACGTCTTAGAAATGCTGGTACTTTTACAAACCGTTTTTTTTTAATTCATCTACGCAACTACACAGTGCTGCTGTATGCTGCTTGATTGCTACTGATAAAAAAGGCTAGCAGGCACATGAATAAGGTCGGCAGTGAATGCATCAAATTTAATTTTTTTTATGTAGAAGCAGCCTAATAATAGCGAGGCCAATCGCATAACCACGCTTCAAACACAGCGTTCGAATTCCTGCGTGTCACACACGGCGACTAATGCCGGCGGCGAGCTGACAAGAATGCAACGAGTGCAAGAGTCTGCGCTCGGGCACAAACGAGCAGCAGTCCACAAGCTTAGGAAGGGTCACGCTTACAAATGACGAGCGTCAACTGTTTTTGGTAGTACGTTTCGCCGCTGCTGCGCGCGACACAAAAGCTTCGCCCCGCGAATCCGACCAATGCCCACGTGACGACCAGGGTAACGCATGTTAGGGCAAGCAATTGGATGCGTTTAGTAAAGGGAGACTGAATTACAAACGCTACTCTTGTCCCCGAACATTGGCGCGTTCCACACCTCAGCACGCCCTCTTCCTTACATGGAAGGCATAGCACACCCTACGCAACGCCCGCGTTCCACGGCTACACCTGCACTTTTCTAGAACCTTGCCCCTCCGCAGTAACCCAAGACTAGCTATTACCGAGGCTGGTTATCGGGTAATGAGCACAACTTCTCAGGTCAAAGATGACTACGTATTAAGACAGCGCCTTGGCGCTGGTTAGGACAAAAGCCCAAAAGCCGGGAACGGCGCGCGCCAAAAAGACGTGTCACACCGAAGCGGCGCCATGTCGCAAATATACCAGTGACCCGTGAAAACTACACTTACTGGTAACAAGGCAACTACAAATAACAAGCATCAAAACTCTTGGCAGCTATTACCTTCACGTAGAACGGCAAGCCAGTGGTAACGAACGGCCGCCGAGGGTTCGGAGACAGGCCTCGCGCTGTGTGCAATGTCGCGCGCCGGTAATGTCACGGAATGCGCAGGCTGTCTTCTTTTTCTCGGGTTAAAGAGCCCCAAAGCGTGGTCAGAAACGAAGATGATGCTTACCTGACGGATTTCGTAGACGTGGAAAAGTTCAGGCGTCGGACGAAGACCGTGTGCACCTCCTGACTGCCGGCGAACGAGGAGTTCCAAAAGCAATGTGCACGTCCTATTTCCAACGGCGATCCCTGATTGGGCCAGAGAATGTGAGAACGGCCTTCTGATTGGCCCACAGAGGGTCTTCTGCCAGGTCTTCTATCAGCCCAGCATTCTTTGCGGTTTTTTTTAACAGATTCTGGTTTCGTTTTCAGATTGTATAAGTGATATAGCCTATATAAACTGACAATTGAAAATAAACTGATTCAAATAAGGCTGTTTACTCGTTGATAACATAAAAGTAAAAAAAAGACAAGCTTGATGATAATCTCGGGAGCTGGATATATAAACTGTTTAAGTTGCAAATTTCGCGGCCTTGTCCTTTTGGCGAAGCGAGCCACCGTGGTTCTTTCAACAGTGGCGCTGCGGTCAGCGAACGAGCTACAAAAAAATGGGTTTTGTTTGCTTCAGGCTTCAGCAATGTGCCACCGACAACCGACATCGGCCACCGACAGTTTTTGCTACACCGTCGACGCCAACTGATTGGCGCGCCGCCACCACCACCGCCAACTTGTGTTTTAGGCGCGATCAGCGCGCCATTTAAATAGATTTTTTTTTAGTTCTCCTACTTTGATTTTGCACCTTCTGCCACTAGTAAATATTCTGGCCTATTTTTTTTTATTCTGCTCACTTCGCAAACGCATTGCGATTGGTTCACCTGCCACTTCTAGTTAAATAACTGAACAATATAAAAAAACAAAAAGATAACAAAAAAACTTGTAAAGTGTTTATAAAGACGTGAAAAGGTAGTGTTGAGTTCTATTTAAGCGTGAATATTAACATGCTTACGAGTTCACTATAGTTAAGTGAATCCCGCTCAGTGGCTGCCAACGGTGGTGTTTGGCGAGGACTGTCGTCATATCCATACGTAATATGTGAGGTGGGCTTTGAACAGTGATGAAATATGAGGAAAGCCGGTACTGAAACATTCATGATTATGACTGTGAAAGCGAGTCGGAGAACAAATGCAGTTCAGATACGAATGGTGGGGGCTAGGAATCAAGACGGGCAGGATAGAAGCGCTTCTATTCAATGTGTATGGAAGATGTTGCAAAGCAGCCTAACTGAGGAAGAGCTAGCTGTTGAGGGCATATATTTAGAGAGAGAAAAATCAATCGAAAAACCGGACAACATACGCGGCCTTTGATGGATAAACTTCAAATGACAACTAATAGACAAAATGCTTTATCAAACAGCACCGATGCTCGGGGTGGCAGGTTCAACAATGTCGACAATATGGACGAGATGGTGGTCACCATAAATTAAGTTCGTGTGAACTGTGATGTAACAGACAGAAGATGAATGCGGAAGACACACTGGATTGTGCGCTTGTATTTGCAACGTGCTTTGTCCTGCACTCTGAGCGATTCTCCGCGCCACACTATCAAGCTGAGTAATGTGCCTTTCTTTCGCCCGTTAATATATAGGACTTGATTCGACTAACTATGGTCGCCGATTTGTCACAACCGTATTTGAAACAGGACAGCACTAACGAAGCTTGTGGGGTGAGTTCTTTCATAACATTTGTGGAAGAAGAAACCAATGAGACCAACCAGGCAGGACTTCGAACGAATTCTTTATTGCCGAAAGTCGACACACACGTGTACTAGCAGTGCATTAAAAAAAAATAGTCTTAGGCATTCCACAGTTGCACACCTAACACTACAAAGGCAAGAAGCATGTCAAAATGGTACAAACAGCACACTTCCATGATCAACGCCTCGTGCACCCACTATAGCAACGTGAATTCCTTGTATTACTGTAAGGACAACTGACAATGAAGGATCAGTTACACATGCATTTCACTTTGCCCTAGCTGTCTTGTTTTTTTCTTTTTTGAAGATTTCAAAAGCTTCACATTCAATCTTATTTCTTTCATCAATTGCCAATGACACTCACTGATATATTAAGGATGCAGATACTAGCGCAGAGGTCAGTTTAGTGCCTGAAGGCTGCTCACACCGCCTAGGTGTCACTAAAGCCTCCACCCGTCTGATCTCTGTAGACACGGTCACATGACAAAAGAAGTTGTTTCAAATCAGTGAATTAAATTGGCAAAGGAAGAAATAAGATTGAACGCGAAACTTGTGAAGCCTTTGAAATAAAACCAGAGCAGAGTGTCATATGTGTGAGTGATCCCCCAGCTTTCTTCAGATAGACAACGCGCGTTTCTCGAGGGGGGGGGGGGGGTGATTTTAAGTGAAAAGAAGAGAAAAGTCAGCCCCGTAACTGTCTTTCACGGGGCGGACACCTCAACAGTAGCTCACGAGGGATGGGGGTAGAGAAGGGATTAAGAGGTAAAGAGATAGAGAGAGAGGAAGGAGAGAGCGAGGCGCAGCGACAGCGAACGACGGAAGTAAGGAGAAGACAAGAAAGATGGACACGGTTGCAGGAGTCCGAGGACGGGGCACCACTGGCGAGAGCTCGTGTCGGCGTCAGGAAATAGCGTAGGGCAAGTCCAGTAGGTCCGATTTACGCTGTCGTCGAAGATCGGCGTCAGGAGATGACGTAGAGACAGCCCAGTCGGTCAGAGCTACGCTCGACGTCGGAGATCGCGAGGGCACAACCGGTCGGCACGAAATCCAGTGAGCGAGTCGCGGTTCTAGATAGCAGGTATACACGTGGCGTTGATATTTTGGTGTTCCGTGGATATCGGATGCTAATACCACCTTGACACATTTATTGCCAAATTTGTACTGTTACTTGTGCTACTGTGGCTCAGATAGCCTCTTTAAGTATGTGCTTCTGGTTCCAATGTATAGAAGCTTTCTTTAAACATTTAGTTGCGAGTCCATCTCATGTCTTTCCCGGTTCATGCGCAGCCTTCGTGATTTTCAATGGTTTCTTCTTAGGCAAAGTAGGTAAAGGTAGATAGGTAAAGATCATCCCTATTGTCGTCATGTGGCTCTAACAACCAGCCTCCCACCATTCCTCATTCTTCTATATTTTCTCCCCGTGCACGCACACATAAGGTCTTCCTAAACGCGGGACGGTAACGAGACATGTGTTCTAATTATACGTTGTCAAACTCACTGATGAGTCAATCGACTCTCTCAGACTCATAGTGAGGCGTGAGTCTGAGTGCGAATGAGTTCGGCTGGGTTTCACTTCGGTGAGTTTGAGTACGAGTGAGTACGCTTGAGTAAAATTTTGTTAAATCTAAGTCTCAGTGAGACTGGTTGACGAAAGCATTCGTGAGCCTCTACATCTGAGCGAGTCCGGCTGAGTTATATTGCCGTGAATCTGTGTCCGAGTGAGTTTGCTTCAGCAAAATGTTGCTTAGTCTGAGTCCTAGTGAGTCTTATGCGGGAAAAAAACTTATTTAATGAGGGAGTCTGTGTAAGCTACATTTATTTTGCTGACTTATGGTTACAAAAATTTATAGTCTCATTTTATGGTGTGCCTTGTCACTCGTATATGTTCCAGCTTGTGAAGCCACAGAATTGATTTTTCAAATGACGAGTCTGTTTATTTCCCCACACCATCGGAACTTATTCCAGTGGAGGTCTTTGATAAAAACCACTAGCTGATATGTTTGAATAAAAATGATAACATGAACGTTAAAGGCACGGAATCAAATTCCGGTATGAAATGCAACGCTTAGGTTAAATATATATATTAAAATACCAACATGACTGAAAGGCAGATTTATACGCCTGCAGTTAGCCACTAAAGTTCAAGACTCTGTACCGACCCAACATAGCAGCTCCATGCTTTTTTTTCGTATTTTCATTTTCTTTCTAATTCAAGCACCTTTCCATCTCATAGTAAGGTTTGACACGCGGAAGCACTTCCGGCGGTTTCTCACCGTCATTGTGTACGCCCAGTCCACACTGCACAAAGCTTGACGACACGGGCTCAATTTTCTCCTGCCTGAGCTTTCGCGCTTTTTGAACGCCCCAAGGAATGCAGGCAGGGTACAAAACGCAGCAACAAGCTCGATACTCCAGGTTTAGGGCGTACAACACAAATAACTGTATTCTTCCAAAGGTGAACATTTGGCAGAAGTATGCTTGGTTAGGACAACAGAAGAATGGAGAAAACAGAAAACTCCAACTAATAATATTTTAAGAAACACGATGTTTTGAAGCCTGATCGGCTTTTTCTTCGGGGGTGAAAAGGCCCGAGATGTGGTCCTCGTGCTAGGTTTGCCACGACTATAGTCGCAATCCCTGGAAGTAGAGGGAGGGCAGTGTTCTCGTGGTACGGTTGGCGCTTTCCACAGGAAAGGTTGAGGAACCATTTGGCGAAGCTTCAGCTTTCGAGGTCGGCAACCATCACCAACCGCATACGACGCTGACAAGTTCTTGAATGCGTTGGTTCAAGCCGCCGCGTTTATCATGAAATTGAGGCTGTTGTACTTTCACAACGCGTTTTTGTATGTGGACGCTTCGAGGTACAATTTTAAACGGTCAGTTGCATCAGTACTTAGCAGCGACAATGGCATGGTGACATGCGCATCGTTGTACATGTCCTCGATCGCCAAGGCGGAATGCTTTGCCATTGCACTTGCAATCAAATCGCAGGAACAGAGAGATGAGCCGCTGACAATTAACTATCATTTGCGACTCGCAGGAAGCGTGCCCTTTCTTCTTAAGAGGCCGCCTTCCGATAAAAATAAGCAAATTCTTAGGCGGGAGATTGAAGAACAAGTACAGGCTGATCTGGTGTCCAGGACACGCAGGCCTGGAGGGGAACGAAAGTGCCGACGCTTGTGCTCGAGGGCTCACGAACCGAGCAGAGCTTTGAAGGCACATTCGATCCTTTGAAACACTCCAGCAGGAAGCTATTGAGGAGGATAATGACCCATCCAGAATGGCCCCTCGCGAAATTCTTGCTAACCAGCGAGGCATGCGAGAAAAATACAGCGCCCCTCACAAATCATTAGAAGGGGAGGACGCAATTGACCTCCGCCGAATTCAAACGGGAGTCTTTCCCAATCTTCAAAGATTACACAAAATTTTTCCAACGCTGTATGGACATGCGTGTCCGTGGTGTGGCGGCTCGCC